CCAACTATGTAGTGAAATTGCCAATGGGATGCTTCTGGGTCAGGGCTTGGAGGAGTGGAGAAAATGGGAGGGATTTCAAATAAAATCCCAAATCCCAAATAATTGAAAGAAGTCAATTTAAGTGATTTTTTTTTTTTTCCTTTTGTGTCTGGTTCCTTTCAGCTAATGATTGAAAGCCTGTTAATGTTAATAACAATTTGAAGTTGCCGATGTGCATGCTTCTTATTGGTGGGTTCACTCTTCCCATAAACCCACAGATTCAAAGGATGCGAACATTCCATCCTCTCATCATTTTATTGGAGTTGAGATGAAGTGGCAAATATGCTAATATAAGGGGTTATGTGGTTCATAGTTCATTTCATATCATACAAAATCAATGGTATTTTTACAAAATGGAATTTTCCCTAAAAGTAATGAATATTTTATTTGTGAATGGAAAGAATATTCCATTTCATGAATTGGGATGATGTCAATTCCTTTATAGAAATCACACTAGGAAAATGTGTTTTTGCTTTCAATGATTTCAATTTCATAAATCAATGACAACACATGTAAGTGTGAAAATGAGACCAAGTTGTGCCAATAGTGTCACTCTAAATCTACCGGATGGTTATGGGCAAGATTCATTACTAGATCACTAAGAAGAATGCACCTTGGAGCATGTAAGTACAAATTGCTCCATGAACACAATGTTTGTACATGATGTTGAAAAGGGAGAGTCCAGTTGTGTTGCATTTGCATTTAGTTTAGTTTAGTCTGTAACAGGTGTTCCACTATAGGTTCAACAAATCTAACCAATATGGTAGCCATGATGTTCCAAATTTAGCAAATGACTTAGGCTAAGATGGTCCCTTTGCATCCCTCCAAATATGGAGGTGTAGGATCAAATTCTTTTCTGTGATGAGGTTAATGGACCTCACATGCACCCTATTACAAGATAGGGTTTCCTAAATGCAAGAAACCTACGAACATGTTGAGAGCATGACAACCACACACCAGGAATACCTTTGAAGTGATGGTTTGGTTGGTGTTGATTGCATTGCTAAATGTGACAGGGTATGACTAATTCATGTGATAGTGTACGAAGGCAGCCCTGAGAATTCACGAAATGGAATCTTATGAGTCCTCTCCCTTCGCCTTCACAATTCCACTGCGTGCGAGCATAGTGACTTGATTCACTCTTCTTGCATGTGGATAAAAGGCTATTTTAGTCTTTTGACCATTTAAATGACATGTGGATGACACATTTAAATGCTAAGGAACTAGCAAAAACATTCAGACGCTAAAAATACATTAAAAACCAGCTAATGGTTTGGTGCTATGACTAGATTTGTTGCCTTTTTAACCACCCTTTTCCCATATGTTAACACATCATTCTCTGCCTATTGGTTATAATGCAGGCTATTGTAGCCTATGACTAGCTGCTACCTTTTGGTTTTAGTCCAATGTGTAAAACCCAATCTTGAATCCATCCTTTTCCCGGATATTAACATGTCATCTATCTTCTCTCGGTCTATTGGTTTTAGTCCAACATATAAAACCCAATCTTGAATCTATAAACACATGTAAAAACCAATGGTATAAATCGGAAACATGAATCTTAGAGTTAGTAATTGTATTTCAATTGAAAAGGATTGAAAATTCTACATAGGTTTGCTTAATGTTATATGTACATCCCATATATCTTGTGTTCCATTTGCCTCATAGAATTGCATTTCTTGGCCTTTAGTGGTTCTTGGTTTTTTCTAATCTAGGCGGTGTTCGGTTTGGTGTTCATCTCGTGGAAAAACCGTGGTTAGAGCCCGTCAATAATTTATTCTTTGATCCCTTGCTTCACACTCTCCCTGAAAGGCTGAAACTATATTGTGTCTACTTCACATTTTATCATTGGAGGTCTCCACCACCCGCTGAATCTCTCCACCATTACAATTCTCCTCCACTAGGCCACCTGTTGATGTAAGTCTCTCTTTATCTCTTTGTTCAATTCTGTTCACATCTTGTTCTTGACAAATGTTAGATCTACATCCCAAAAATCCTTGTACTATGTTTCCCTCTTGATGCTAAATCCTGAATAGCCGAACAATACTATCTTCTCTATTGTGTGAATAGTACTGTTATATTTGTCTTCTTGGTGCATCCAAGGTTTTTCACCATCCATCTGGTTTGTTATATTTGTTTTTCTCCTTCACTATGATTCAGTAACGGATGGGTTGCTTAGCATCTTTGTTGGTTGAGGTAAGCCAAGCCTAAGTTTAGCTAATGAACACCACCGCAAACTGCCTGCAAATTAAGATTAATTTATTAGGCTCATCATTAATCCATAAACTCTATTATAGAAATGGGTATTGGAGAAGAGAAACTAGCCTGGGGAATGGATCTACTATATATAAGTACAATTTGTGCTTGTGAAATTGCCTTCTTTGAAACCTTGTGCTTGTATCAGTGAAATAAATCACATCCTTCATTTTTGTCAATGTCCAAATCACATCGTATGACTAGAATCTCCATTTTCAAGTTGTGATTCGTCCTCTTCAATTTGCATGCTCTTGAAAGATTCCACAAGGTTGATATTTGCTTGCATGTTGTGGGTGCAACATACTTTGCACTCTTCTTCTTATCTCTTTTATAATGGTGGTTCTTTTATTTTTGTTTAGGTACTAATCATAAGCATGGTGGTTTATTCATGCACCATTTTAGGAAACTAGTTGAACAATATTTTGATGTTATGCTTGTCTTACAACTAGTACGGTAATCAATGGATTATTAGTTAGCATAAATCGTTTGATGCTATGCTTATCTTGCAAAAAATTGTTTTATCAATTGTTTAAATATTAGTTTTTAATATTTTTGTCAATAAAATATTAATTATTTTACTTAATTTTTTAATGTTTTTATCAATAAAATAATATTTTTAAATATTTAAATATATTTTTTAATTATTTTATTATTGTTTTATAAAAATTAATATTTATTGGTTAATATTAATTCATTGATGCACTTTTCAATATATTTATCATATAAAATGCAAAAATTAGATATTTATGATTAACTATGTAGATCATTCATAAAATGTATATGAGATACATAGAATCAAAAAGTGTGGTGTGTACTGGTCCACGCCACGCCTACAGAATACCACTATGGGTATGGATTGGTCCAGTCCACACAGTTTGTCCGTAGTTTTAGAACAGTTATGGACTGTGGTGTGGTGTGAATTGATCCCTGCCACAGGGTATGGTGTGGAGTAGTCCACACATACCAATTTCTCATCCACATTACAAAAAACAACCTACTTGCTGTTAAGAGGAGTACTAGATTTTCACCTCTTTATTTCCGCTTTTAAAACATGCATTCAATCTGCTTCTTAACTGCTTTTGTTGGCATGGCATGGTGTTGCTACAAAGATCACTATATTCAATATAGTTTGCTATAAATATCTTTGCCTCCCTAATAAATGCTTGCTCTGTATTGTTTCTTGTTTCATATATAATTCGGAATTTATGTTGTTTATATTTTGCCATAGGCAGCTGAAGTTGGAAGTATTGATCCGAACTGAAACTCTGGCAATGGTGACGATGAGGTAAATCACCATCAATTTTTTTCTCTGCTCTTTCGTATTCTTCTTCCTCTCCTTCTCTCTCTCACCTTATTTTTTCATTCCTCCCCAATTTTCTAGCCAAGTATTTATTATATAGACCTTTAGTAGAAGGTCTGAAATGCATGTTAATTTTTTTCCCAATTTAAGTTTGCAATGCATCGTTATGTGAGTAGAGTTATTAGGTCATTAGTTCTGTATCGTGTTGAATTTTTCTATGTTTATTTTATTGTTTACCTGATTCAGCTCTATCTTTGTAGTTAATAAGTTTTGACAGATCTCTATCAAATTCATCAGAATACAATAACATCACGATATAGGGAATCTGAACATGGGACACATGGTGAATTACTAGACTCAGCTCATGATATAGGTTCCCTGTCCGCTTACTAAAAAATAGAATCAGGATTTGCTCGCACCTTACAGCCCCATCTCAACATGTATTGAGAACATCTTCTCATGAATAAATAGGAAATGTTCCCAGGCTGTGAGTTCCGTGTGGAGACTGGATCTACTCCTCACATAAGGCACCTCAAACGCGTCTCACATGCACATCATACCATGCATTGGGAACATCTCCCGTATGAGGTGGATGTGCATGTGAGGAGCAGATCCCATTCCTTCCGCACCTGAGCAGATCCAGAAGAATATTAGGTTCCCTCTACCCAGAGAGACAGAGGCTGAAGTGAATTAGGACAACTATTCTTTGGTTTTTCTGAAATCAAGGCATCCGAATTTCATATCTTTATAATTGAATCCAATTTAAAATTATAAATCACCCCACAACTCCCAACGTATAAGATTCGATTCAAATTCAAATGTGAAAGGATTAAGGACCATATTTTGATCCGGCTATATACGATCGGAAATCCAAACCCGATCCGTTTGCAGCCCTACTGGAATGTCATTCTCCACAAAACAAGAGATGTAATTATGGTTCTGTGTTGGGGTTTAGCAGCAGTACCCAGATTTTAGCCTTGTTCGAGATCAAAATAAAGTTCTATGTTGCCCTATTTACAGTTATAGGAGAGCTCTGAGCTGGGTGGGATGGGAAGTTTAAAACTCAAGACTCAAAATCAAGATGACTATTTCAGCTTCAACTTGGGAAAACTAGGTAAGTTTGCCAATTCCAAGATAGTTTGCAGAGATCGGATCCAGATTCAGGACAGGGATTCATTAAAAGCATAAGGACTTTTCTAGGTGAATAACTTGATTAATATGGGGTTGCTGGTTTAACTTTTATTATTATTGTTCCGGGCTTCTTCACCAAGTTATGTTGAATGATCAAAATGGAAGCATCTGATCAGTAGTGCTCACTCTCATTTACTACTCACCTACTCATCTGCTACTGAAAGGAGCCCCACATAAAAGAAAACAGCAATTCAGCAAATAGCAACTTAGCAAGTTCAGTTCACAATTAGGCCCATTTACCAAAACAAACATTTCTTTTATTTAGAAGCAACTATCTACTGAAGACTCACAGACAAAGCCCATTACTCTGGAACCTCTCCACAGACTCCTAACTCATCTATTGCAGTAATATATATTTGATATTATATTTATTTCTATTACTTCCATGGTTTGTCTCCTCTCTCTTTCTCTCGTCTTCTGCTATACTTGAGGCTCCTCAGAGGTTGGATCAAGCAGCGGTCACAGCTATCTTCATTCCTGCCTGACAGTGCCCAGCAACAGTGCAGATGAAGTAGTTCTGACCCCTCGCCAGTTTGATCTGATCGTTCCCTGATCGGAGTGTTCTAGCCCCTCTTGGAGCCGTGCAACTGTTGTAGCCATTTCTGTCTACTGCAACCACGTTGTGGATCGCTGGGTTGTACTTGAAAACTGCAAATCAACACAGCAGGCAGGCACACAGACACAGGTTTCATTTGGGTCAATGTGGTTGCATATAAAAAGATAGGTTGTTAAGTTTTGATTGTCTACTGAACCAGAGATCGATGCTTACCGAGTAAATCACCGGCCAGGAAACGCTTGCCTCTAGGCCAGGCAGCAGTGTTGAAGGTCCACCCACCAGCATCCCCAACTGTGAAGGTTGCAGCTCGGGCCATCTCACAGTGAACCAGTAGGCAGAGAAGTGTGAGCCCAAGGATCACGGAAGGAGCTGCACTGTCTCTTCCCTGAGCCATCTTTTACTCGCAGAGGTAGTAAACAAACAACAAGAACAAACACAAGAAGATGGGAAGAGGAAAGCTCTGAGTCTGAGGGATGATTCAGGCAAGGAAGAAGGTTTGGCTTTTTATAGAACGAGCATGAACGGGTGGCGGGTCCCATTGGTTGAAAATAAAAGAGTCAGGCCAAATTCACAATAAAGAAGACTATGAGGGTCTAGATCTGGAAGGGGTAAAAAGCCATTAAAATAGGCTAACAACCCACAATGGTGGCCGTGGCCATAAAGTTGGACTTTCAGGCTTGTTCGGTCTACGAGTCTGGCAGGATTTCAGCAAACTCAACCTTTTAATGGAGCTGCCACGGTAAGTCTGGGAGTACTTCAAAAGTCCTCTACCCAATACCACAATTAATATGCATTGGCCCATTGGGTATACACACTAGGCCCGGTCAGGCCAGGCTTACCCTCCAAGCCCTTGGAGGTTCTGTCTTGAAATAGATATGGATATGTAGCACTGAAGAGGGTGAAATGGCAGAAGAAGATTTAATGTAGAACAAGGCTTTATTGAGTTGAGATCATCATCATCCAAGCCTTATAGCAATTCGCCTTGGCTACATGAATCCTGTTTTATCATTCTATCCACGGTTTTGAAAATCGGACTGGACCAGATGATCGGACCAGTTGATTCAGGAACCGCAACTATTTTCATTTCACCCTAAAATTGCTCTTAGGCAAAAAATCATTGATTCGGTCAACAATCTGCTGACCTGAGCAATCAAATCATCGACCTGTCAACTTGGATAACATTTTTTGACTTTTTTTATTTTAATTATTATTTTTATTTGTTTTATTTTTTTTTTAAACCAGAACAAGCCGTCCGTTCAAACTGGACAATTGGACTATTCGACCTGGGAACAGGTCCCCAAAACAGTTCCGTGTCTGACTTTTAAAAACTTGATTCTATCCATTGTTAAATTAAAACTGAATCACACAACGAACCAGTCAAGGGTCTGGTTCCCGGGTCAAATGGTCCAACCATTCGAACTGAATGGATGGCACATTCTGATAAAAAAATAAAAATAAAAACCGGCCAAACCATTGAACGATTCAAATAGTTTGACTGCCCGGGTCAACAGTTTATTTGATTTTTAGGGAAATAACGGCTCTAGAATAAAACAAAACCGATCACCTGACCAATTTCCAGTTTTTCTAATCCGACCATCCAGTTCAATCCAGTTTTAAAAACCATAATTAAATTATTAGAGCTTAAATCATTTTTCACTACTTTCATCTATGTCCTCTTTGGTTACCCCTATCCCTTCTAAACCCTCCAATTTTCAAGAGATCACTTCTTAATCTTATGATAAGATACCCTCATTAGTATGATGGGTAAAATTACTAAAAACGATGATTTGACGGTTTCCCATTTCCTACTTTACACACACAATTCAATAATACTTTATTAAAAAGTTTATTATACCCAATTTTATCCTAGCCCCGCACAAAAGGACCAAAGTTTAGTTGAAACCAATAATGGCTGTTCAGTGGCAGGTTATTCCCATCAGCGTGGAACTTTACCATTGGTCCCACAGCCCACTGAACAGCCAACGCACACAGCTAATGTTCTAGTATGGCAGGTTATTCCCATCAGCTAATTCGATTGAGTTGAAACTGCCATATGCCCAGGCCTAAAATTAATTTGGTAGGACCTTCCAACCCCAACTGAGAAACAAAAAAAGAGTTCGGTATTGACCGATCATTTAGTAAAATGATGAATTAGGTTAGATGGGTCCATAATGAATAAATTCTCAACCAAGACATTTAATTGCATGAAATTGCAGCTATCAATTCAATAATGAGATGAGAGTTCCTAAAAATGTAGGAAAATGAAGGGAAAGGTAGGAAAATCTCTACAAACTTTGTATTGATTTCCTTATTTTTTTCTTTCTTTCCCTACTTTTTCCTTCAAACCAAACATACCCTTAATGACTAACTTCTTTGTGCACCTTTTCAAATTTCTAATTTTAGTACTCATCTTGTAAAATTCCTATTTTAAAAGTGAATACATTTTACACTTTATATTCTTAATTTTAATTAATTTTAGATAAGGTTTAACCTCAAATTGATCTACATTGCAGTAAATTTTAAAAATTTCCAAGATAATTTCACTTCAGCATAAAGTATTGTGATCCTGTTTCCCACCTCAAAATGAGACCAAAATTTCAATGGACATGAAAACCATTTGTCAAACTTGTACCCAAAACAATTATTAATGAATGGTTGATTTCTACCAATCAAAGCCGTAGAAAAGACTCAATTTTTTTTTCTGAAAATCAACTAGTATCTTAAGAAAGCTTCAATTTCAATGACAGCCAAAGACAACTTTATAGTAATGTTTTATCTTTCAATTGTAAAAATAGAATAAATACCATATATAAGTTGTTTGCAAATGGAAATTCTTAACTTTACCAACGTTACCTATATAACAGATATTTGCCACAAAATTGGCAGACTTAGGCTGTGTTCAGCAATATTAAAGGTTTTTGTTTTTCAAAGCACAAAAGCAACTATCACATTAAAAAAAAAAGGAATAAAATTGTTTTTGTTTTGAAGAACAAAACCATTCATTTTATCACACTCCTTTAATAGATTTCAGAAGTCCTGTAAATGTAAAACAATTTCATTTTGGTTTCAATAGCATTCACACATGAGTTCATTACTCGACTCAAAATCACCTGAATTAAATAAATATATTAATACGGAATTAGTTCATTATGTTGAGAATGTCTAAACAACCTTGTTTTATCTGAACTTGTGTCTTACAACATCAGCCCTCAAGTTTTTTTCTAAACCAATTTATTTCTTTTCACAGAAATCTCTTAATGGAGTTGCTTCAGATTTTATGATTTCATTCATACATTTCACAAGGGGGCACAGCTCTAATCATTATTTAAAAGAGTATTCTATTCGAAAAAGTGCCAATATTGGGTCGAGTTTTTTCAGTTTTTTCCTTTAAATTAACACCTTTTTGATTGAAAGGAGTACAAATACAAATGTATACAGTATAAATACATACAAAAATACAAGGTTTTACGCTCTACAATTTTGCATTTATACTCTTCCCAACTGAGTCATATTGTTTAGCCAATCTGCAGCTTGATTTTCTTCTCTATTATTTGTGACTATTGGACTTCTAGACCATTATCCTCCATCATCTACTACTGCAGTCCTGCGCTAGAGCTTCACACTTCCAATGGATCCATAGGACATTTTCTAATGTATTTTTTCTAGAGACAACAAAATTTAACTTGATGGTCTGTTTGGTGTGGTTTATTTTACCCACACTTCCCCATATTTTCCTTTTGTATTGTTAGACTTTTATTGGATTCTAATCAACTATAGGTCATTTGTTTATTTTTTTATCACCATGGGGGGTGCCTAGTTAGCGGTGGCAATTGCGCAGGTTGGGTTGGATTTGGTTTGGGTTGAGTTTCAATCCAATCCATCTAACCCGCCACCCCATTAATGACCCAGTTATATAAAATTAAATGGATTGGGTTTAACTCAAATCCACTTTAACCCAATCCAACCCACTCAAACCCATTAATTTTATATTTATGGACTTGAAAAACAAACTAATTCTCTCTTAACAAATAAGTTGGTCATAGCTTGGTGGTTGAAGTTACATTTTTATTTTCACACAAGCGGTGAAGCCATTTGATTATGTTCAAATTTTGGGTTTGACCGAACCACTTAGGTTCGAACCGGTCAGAGCAACTTGAACTATCTAATTGGATTATCTTTGAGCTAATCACATCAAAGGTGGTTGAGTCGTTTAGATTTAGATCAGTCTAGTTGCATCGGACCGGACTGGTTCAATTAATGGTGGATTGACTTGGACTGGCCCATATCAGGTTTGTGCACGGGTTTGGGACCGAATGACTGACCTGAAGCGGCTGGCCCATATCGGGTCGGTCCTGGATTCGGGTTGGGTTGTGTGGATATATGTCGGAGCGGATGGTCCAGACCGAGCAAAGCACACGGACACCGAACCATCTCGTTTGGAATCGTTTCTGATTTGGGTTGACCCCGATCGGCTTGTATCGGGTTGGGTCAGGCTACATCCAGACCGGGCAAAGCAAGTGGTATCGAACCGTCCCACCAGGGTCTATTTTGGATCAATATATGTTGGATTGGGTCAGATCGCATTGAATTGGTCCAGACTCGAGTCAAATTGATTTGAATTTATGTTGGGTGAAATGTGTTGATTCAAGAAAAAACTAAATTTAGTCAATAATTAATAGAAAATTAATGCATTAATTATAAATTATTTAATTCAAATGAAGAAAATTAAAAAAAAAAAGGCTAAGGAATTAATGCTTATGTTTGTAATGATTAACCCAATGGTTATCCACAACCCAACTCAACCCAACCCATTTAAATGGATGAATTGGGTGATGGGTTGATCACGCAACCCGCCAAGTAAATAGGCGGATTGGGTGGGTTAGATACTGATTAGATTGGGTGAATTCAATGGGTTGAATGAAAAATTGCCATCCCAATGCCTAATTTTTAGAAGATTTTCATTCCCTTTTTCGTAGATCTATCACAAGATAAATCCATATGTTCAGCTATATCTTGAGATTATTGGAATATTTTGGACAAGAATAATATTATTGGTGCTATGTTTAGTTCTGTCAAGTTTGTCTATGAAAATAGAAAATTTAATGGGGCTGCTCATTTTTGTAGCCAAGAAGGTGAAAGGCTATTTTCACTATCTGCTTGGAGAGGAGATCAACTTTTATAGTTGTCTAGTTTTGTGAGCTCTTTGTAACCTTGTTGTGTTTTATTTATTGACAAACAAAATCATTCTTCTAAATAATCTTTTTAAGAGTCTAATTAGCTGCGATGTAGATGTTGCACAATAATAAATCAGAAAAATAACCAATAACGTTAAAGGCATTACATTCTCTTCATCAATTCTTACTTTTCATTGATTTATATTTCACAATATGAACTTACCAAGCACGTTGAAGACTGTAACAACGTTCATTTTATCAGTATTTCACTTTTTTGCTTCATAGTGTAGGTTTTACATCATACATTTTGCCATG